CGACGTACGGCTCTTATGGTCTTATTTATTCGATCCAAATATAGTGTGCGCCAAACAAATACTACAAAACGACATCGTATCAAAGCCGCCGCACCGATTTTAAGAGCATTTTTTTAACTTAAGGGCACTTGCGGCGACCACCGTGGGTGGTGAGAGTAGCGTAGCACTGGCACTTGTCGTAGTTACCGTACGTACCAGGTGGTACACAGTTGCATCTCACGCAGCAAGTCCCGCACGCTCGGTGACAAAGATTAGGTCTACTCGAGAGCCTGCAACGTGCTTTACATGCACCCTTACAATCTATAAAAGAAAACACACATATATCATTGATTTTACTAACTAAACAACGTTGGTTTATATGAAATTTTACATGTAACATAATTACCGATCGTATTAGCATAACGAACTTTTCGGTTTGAGTTTTCCTGCGGAAATAATTAAGAAAATGAAAGAATGTAAGAAACATTGTTTATAACAAAGATATGAGTAAATATTTGAGTATTTGATGAAAATTAAAACGTACAATATTGGCCTCGACGAGTTGGAGAACAAGAAGAGAAACGAGAAGAGAAGCAATAAGGGCTTTTGAAATAGCCATAATTCTCGAAGATGAGAACTACCTCAATTTGTATTGATGAGAAGATGATTTTTTTTTGGTATTGCTTGTTGTGTCTAAATGAGAACTTGGATGCTCCTATTTATAGCCCTTCTTTCGATGTACAACCGACCCCATTTCGGTCTAGACTTTTCTTTTTCATTTCATTTTAATTATTTCTTAGTTCTTATTCAATAGTTTTCAGTAAAATTAAATTGACTACTTAGTTTCAATATGATATGATAGCAAGTACTTTCTAACAGTTTCTGATGATGATCACGAATCAAAATGAATTTAAAATTTTTTTTTGTTCTTTTTGTTTGTGTTAAGGGATCTTCTTGAGTTAATATAATAGAGATACAGAGGAACCACAGTTGAACCATTACAACCATAAAGAAAAGAGGAACCAGCAACAATGATATAATTTTGAAGAACAAAAGTAATTTGTAATTTGATAAGTAATTATATTTTTGATTAATTATCAATGGTTAATAGGTGAAAAATGGATATAGTAATAGCATATTATAAGATTACCTTTACTTTTTGCAAAATGGGTCGGTTGGTGCGTATAAAAGTTGTGCGTACGCGGAGAAGAGAATATTATGGTGGAGATATTTAGGTTGTGTATTATTTGTGGTCTCTTGTTTTAATTTGATCAGTATGGATTCGGTATAACTTTTCTCTAGAAGAGTATTTGAAATTCGATGTTTCTATGTGAATCTTGCATAAGAGATAACTATATGCCAATATATTACTGTATATAAACTCCTACGTAAGTATACCTAAACTCTATTATTGGTTTCGTTTGGGTTTGGTACGTTTAGGATCTACCTAAAAACTCTTGGTTTAGTGACATGAATAAAATAATTTCATTTAAACGATTTGACTTTTGACTTTTGACTTCAAGAGTGAGATTTTTTTCAAGAGTGAGATTGTTTTATGAAATCTTGACGTATACACGGACTACTCGTTCCGGTTTTGAAGTGTGTACACGCACTTTCTACGATGTATGTGGTTTGTGACAAAGCAGAAAACTATTATATTTCTTTTTTGGCTAAGCATCAATGGTTTTTTATCGAATTTGTGTTTGGTAACTTATAACAACTATATTGTTAATATCCGAGAGAACACCTTAAATAAATAAATAGTCCAAAAGTGTTCTGGTTAAGAGTGGGTGATGTTAATTGCTCAATTTTGAGTTTTCTTTTTTGTTGATCTTCGTTGTTTTGGGAATCATCAGAATTATTTGACAAAATTAACAGAAAAAAAATAACCAAAATAGAAAAAGAAAATATTATAAAATGTGAGTTAATTAATGAAGAAAAGGGACTAAGAAAAGTTTTTTTGTGGTTGAAGCATTGAGGATGAGGAGATGTAGACGTGAGTGGTCCTTTTGAGAATACTTCATTTCACAGCTTGCACTTCTTCTTATGAGTTATGACCCACTTTTCGTCTATATATATATTTCCTCTTTTCTATTTCATGATAAATCGATTTCTAGATCAATCTTTATGTTTTTTTTTTTGAAACTTTGATGTCAATCTCTATGTTTTGTCTTGATAATACGATTTGTATTCTTCTTATGGTCCATTCTTTGTTTTGTTTCTTTGTCATTATTTTGTATTACAAAAAAAAAAAAAGAAGTTAAATACATTTAGTTAGGGTTACGCAAATGCTCTGTTAGATATATATACTTCGATCCGCTATTGTATATAGTTAGGGAGTGAGAGAAGAAAATCAAGTGGTGGTGGGTGATGGTTTCTATCTGTGGGTCTAGAAATTACTCTGTGGGTCTAGATCAGAGTTTAATTATTCTTAAACGCGAAATTATTCATGAATTCTCATTTGACCAGTTGAAATGGTGTTATGTTTTATGCCCATTAGAAAATATGGTGAATGGGCTATTCGACAGTTACACTCATCATGAGAGAATTAGATGGGTGGTAAAAGTTTGGATTATGGTTTTC